CAAAAATATTAGGCAGTCAAGGGCAACATTCAGTTCAGAATATAGACTTGTTTATGAAAAATCTTAGAGGAGGATGGTAGAAGATTGCAACCAGTATTACTTCATAAAACAGCAAATAGTAATGATGGGGAAAATAAGATTTTAAAATTTTGGCAAGAGACCCAATGAAGCTGGGTTATCCTGCAAAATTTATGGATGAAACTGGAAGTACAACAAATGAAACATGGAAAAGATCTGTTAAGATTACTATAATAAGTCATTTCTCTGCATCAACAATAATGGAGCTACCCACACAGGTTAACATCATAGTCCCTGATATACTATAGGAAGAAGGTGAAATGTTACTAAAGGATATAAAGATGGGCAAAGCATCTAGACCAAACCAAGTCTAGAGGAAGTCCATGCTAAAGGCAATGATTGTAGGGATTGGTTTTCTTTCTTTTTTTTTTTCTTTAGGTGAGGCAATTGGAGTTAAGTGATTTGCCCAGGGTCACACAGCTAGTACGTGTCAAATGTCTAGTCTGAGGCTGGATTTGAACTTAGGTCCTTCTGATTCCAGGCTCGGTGCTCTATCCACTGCACCACCCAGCTGCCCTGGGATTAGTTTTCATGATAACTGAAAGATGAGAGGATAGTGAAGGATTTGAAAAATAATCACAGATGTTACTCCTCTTCAAACATGTGGATTAATAAAACATCATTAACTACTGACTTATATTCCTATAGAGCTTTCCTATCACTGAAAAATCTTTGAGAGTAGTTACACATATATCAAAGGTGTGCTTGATAAAGAAGGCATGACACAATGAACAGACAGGCTTTGGGAAATAATGTTGTATAGCAGACCACCTCTTTATAGTCACAAAAGGTAAAGAAAATTCAAGCTTCCACAGCACTTACTAGTGTGTTGACTATAAAAAAAAAAACGCCTCAACAGAACAAGATGCTGCCTTACAGGCACTGCTGCAAAAAAGTGTATCTCGGGGCAGCTAGGTGGCACACTGGATACAGCACTGGCCCTGAAGTCAGGAGCACCTGAGTTCAGATCTGGTCTCTGACCAGACATTTGACATTTACTAGCTGTGTGACCCTGGGCAAGTCATTTAACCCCAACTGCCTGAAAAATTTTTTTTTTTAAAAAGTGTATCTCATTAATATTCTGAAATCATACAAGATTCTTTGAAAGATTCAATGAAATTACTTTGAATTTCTAATTATTAATATCCAGTAGAGTATGAAACTAAGACATATAGGCTTACAAAAAGTATCTGTTCCTGTCATTAAGAATGTGCAGCCCTGAGTCTAAACTGAAGAAGAATGCTCTATAGTTGGTTAGGTTATGCAGGAATTCCTGGTGGTGGATAGCACAGGAATGGTGCTGATTCCATCAAACTATGGATACTGTAGATATTGGGAAACTGCAGAGTGGTTTGAACGGCACTTTTTTTTCCTTCTGAAACACATGCTTATCTTTTTAATGACAATATTCTTCCAGTGATGCTTTGATGCTGTGAATGCCACAGTCTCAGAAGACTTAGTTGCAGGTCTTCCAAAGGGCAGTGGAAAGAAGCATGGTGGGCCGGAGTAGACTGCAGACAAAGGGTGATTACTACCCCTCAAAAAAGGGTCCATTAAGAATATCCTGAAAAGGAGGTGGGCTGGTCACGTACAAAGAATTAGTGACAACCAATGAAGAGCCTTCTTGCCACGGTACCTACAGAATGACAAAAGCCTTACCGGGAAGTCTCTATCAGGTTGTGTGGACTTCTCTACAGAGAATTTACAAGAGGATGCGGGCCAAGGCGCAGGTGATAAGGCTTGGGTGGGCTGTCATTTCCACCACTGGAAGATGTACTCATTGAATATTCTAAGGTACATTTTTATTAATATAATGGAGAGTAACATAGTATTTGCATATATATTATTCATTTGTCCATCACAGTAAGAGCAAGTATGAATATTTTCATTTTACAGCTGAAGAAACTAAGGCTCAGGGAGGTTAAATCCACATAATAACAACAGCTTATGTGTGTAGAGCTCTTTAAGATTAAAAAAATCCTTTCTTACAATGCCTCTGTGAAGCAAGTATTGTAATTATTATTTCCATTTTACAGATGGAGATCCTGAGGTTTAGAGCAGTTAATTGGTTTGCACATTGCTACTCAGATAAATTTCAGAATCAGGACTCAAACGTGGATCAGGTGAATGACACTTGAGTTCTTTCCATTTAGAGCCAGTCTTCTTACTCCTGTTCCAGGACTCTCCACTAAAGCATGTTTCTCCTCATTTCCTACCCTTGATCAACAATCCTAGAAACGTATCAAGGATGGATATGGGTTCTATCAAAAGATTTTTGTCTTCAAATGACAGTTTGTGTGTTTTACTAAATTAGCAAGTTATATTTATTCATCTGTCCATCCATCTATTTATTTATCTGCAAAAAATGATTGGCTGCTATTTGGCCACAGCTGATCATGTACTTACCCTGTCTTACTTTGTAAATACTCTCACTAGCTTAGAGCAAGAAAACAACAAGGAGAAAAATAAATTGGGACACAACAGTAGTACTGCTGAAATATACTTGCTGTAGAACATATCTGCAGAGATAGGTTCAGATTAGAAGATCCTGGGATAAGCAAAGTTTTTCTTAGAAGTTTATTTTCTTAGGGACAAGTATTCTGCTTTCCTTGATAATTTGCCAAATGTATTCTGCTTGCAACATATCTGTTTGCAAGCTTAGTAGTCGATCACTCAATAAGTATTTGTCAGCCATCTACTACATGGCAGACATTGTGTTAAGCATTGGAGCACACGTGTGTGTGTGTGTGCACGCGCTCATGCCCATGTAATACACTAAAAAAAAGCATGAAGGGTTTAGTAACTACTCTATACAGAAACAAGGAGACATCCACCCACTGTACTGAGTTTCTTCAATGAATGTGAGATTTCATTGATATAAAATCTAACCCCTTTGTTTTACAGATGAAGAAATGGAGGCTTGCAGAGATCAAGTGACTTGCTCAAGGTCACACAGGCAAATAAGAAGGAGTAAATCCTCTCTGGGCTCCACTCCTGACTCCCTGGACTTTTAATACCATGCCACAGCAGCCTACTCACACCAGCAGTTCACTCCACCAAACTTACCAAACTGGAACTCTGTTGTGGCTCCCCCCTCTGGATGCTCCTAGAACCTACATTTAAAGGAAAGCATGCAGGCAAGTCATCTCTTCATTGCTCTCCATGCTCCATTCCTAAGTCTCCTCACCCTGGAAATTCAGTCTACCCCTGACCTTTTTCTAATGGAAGGAATCTGCCCCTGCAGCCCCTTCCCTGATTGGCTAGTCTCTCTCAGGATCTCCATTTTGAGGAAAATGTTCAGGCTAGGTATTTCTTCATTCTTTTCCAAGTTATAATTCTGACTCTCCTCCCTCTTGCTTTTTAACTTCCTTTTACATGCTGTCTTCCCTCAATTAGAACATAAGTTCATTGAGAGCAGGAACTGACTTTCTATTGCTTTTATATGTATTCCCAATGGTTAGCTCAGTGCTTGGTACAAAGTAAGTGCATAATAAATGCTTATTGACTTGACATAAACCCAGGTCCTTTGATTCTTGATTCCATGTCCTTTCCACTGTACCACATTACCTTTCAGCCCAACAGTGGCTTCACATCCTTGTCCATGTGCTCTATGGCAGGCCTGGACAACACGCGGTTCACCAAAGTGAGCCGCCGATGGCATTTGTGCAGGTCTGTATTTACATCTTTTACATTTTTTGTGAGCCACTGGAAATCCTTTGGTGGGCTGCAAGTGGTGCACAGGCTGTTATGTTGTGCAGGCTTGCTCTATGGGGATGACAGTGAGGAGGTGTGTCCAGTGTGCTAGGGAGCTTTCTCTTGACATTGTATCCTTTGATACCACTACACAACTAGCTCCTCCTTTACTGATTATAAATCTTTTTTATATCTTTTATTCTGCTTCTTCCGTATAGTTATTGTATGTTGGATCTTACTCATGCTCATCACACACCTCTCCACTACCCTTTGGCTGATACACAACTTGCATCACTAGAAGAATACTAATGTTATAAAGATGGCTTTTGTTTCAGGGAGAAGGTCGGAGTCATAAAAACATGGTGCGATTTCCCAAAAAATTGCAATCCAGTCCAACCTCTGGTCACTGGACTCTCTGACAAGCCATGTGGGCCTCCTTCACTGTATACATAGTGTCCACAACACGCGCAGACTTAAAGACTATCTCTATGCCTTGCTTAATCAAATACATATCACAGCTTGGACAACAGGCCTTCTTCACCCACTTGGTTTTCTCCTGGTAGATGGTTAGGCCAAACTCTTTTGAGAGACTATAGATCTCACTTAAGAGTCTCTTTAGTATTCTAAGGCTTAACATAATTAGTACAATGTCATCTATAAACAAAAGTTATCTGGAAGGCGCCACCAACTCTTATGGAATCCTTCTTCACCTTGGATTCTGCACTCAAGGGATACATTTGGTCAGCATACATCTCCTTGTTTTATGACTCTCTTGATATTAATAAGTAGATAAAATTATTTTTGTCATACTATCTTTTTAGGAATCTTGTATGATTTTATCATATGCAACAGAAAAACTTTGTTGGAAGTGTGCCTTTAAGGTGCCATCTTGCTTTTTTGAATTAAATACTTTTCTATAGTCACCAAATAATAAGCATAGTGAAATCATTCTCTTCACCTCTCAGTCCACTATGACTATCAAGATGTGTTCTGCTCTAAACTATTGTGAAAACCTGACGGTCCCACTCATACCTTCATCTAGGACACTCCAGATGAAAGTGTAAGTTATTCCTACAAAGACTTTATATAGTTGGGAAAGTAGGTATTTAGGTTAGTAGTTCGGGAATAAAGTGACTTTAATATTGTGACAAATTATACACAAAATAAAATAAAATACCTAAAAGCATTACAAAGGCTTCTTAGTATGATCCCTAAAATGTTTTACTTACTTTTCTCAGGCAAAGTCTGCAATTTATTGAGTTCCTCAGCATCTTCCTCACTGTCTTCACTACTTGTGCTGCTGACATCTAAAACTATGTCTCTTTTGGGGTCTACTCGGAGAAAATTACGGCATTCAAAAGTCAGGTGACCAGCTGAATAAAACAAAACAGAAAATTAAATGACAAGATGCAGAAATGGAAACATCAGATTATTTTATGCTTGAAAATTATAAATATTCAATGTAATAAGGGCAAACCATAATTTTAATAATGCCAGATGAGAATGTCTTAACTTTTACAAGACTATAGGCTATATTACATTAAAGTTGTTCAGTGTTTAACAAAATACTTTCACACAGATCACCTGATTTAAGCCTACAAACTAGGTAGGGCTAGAGAGTGATTTGTCCAGGCTGATCTTGCTAGAGGTAGATGAACTTAGAATCTGACTTCTGCTCTAGTGCTATTTCCACTTTACCAGGACACTAGGAGAGAAGAGGGATATTTTTTTCTTTAGTTGACATTTTAATTTCCATAACATTTCTTCTTTTAAAAACTTTTTCTTTTGTGCTAAATATTATTTTTTCTTCTTAGATGTACAAATGTAGACTCATCTTTGATTTCTGCATCTCAAACTTTTCTATATTCTAATCACATTTACTAAGCTGTTAAAATCATTAAAAGAGCTTTTGCTCAGCAGCCGCTAGGACGTGAATACACTACTTGATCCTGGCTAATTGTACCATTCACACAAATTAATATGTTCTTCTTTAGGCTACCTTGAAGACCACTTATAAGTGCAAGTTTATATGGTACATCTGTAGCAAATAACCTGTTCATTTAAATTTAAAAAAAATACCTTGTGCTTTGACCTGTAATAGCTATCTACTTCCTTTATGAGACAAATCAATTTTTTTATCCAAGTTATATTTGCCCAGGCAAGGAATAACTGAGATTATAGTATTTATTTGCAAGTAGACAACATCAGTAAACAGGATAAATAAGCAGGAGCCTTGGACACACCTTCCTACTAAAATGAAAGGAATGGAAACAGGAAGTAGCCCATGATATGGGTGAGTCAATAGGAAGAAGGGAGCTGGTGAATTGAAATAAGATTTTACATATGAGGAAGAAAAGAGAAGCCAGAAAATAAGTTGGAACTAGAAATAAAGTTGTACTTAGCTCATCTTTTTTAGCATAGACACTGAGGTAAAAACAGATGATTCCTATGTGAACAGAAACTCCCAAGTATTGATCTTGGCTATACATACCTACATCAGGCTGTAATATTAAAATAACTAATTAACTATAAATATAACCATTAAAATATTAAAACATAAAAGTTAAAATTAATTAAAATTATTACGTAATAAGAATTAAGCAAAATGACTAAATAACAGAACCTAAATTGTGGTGAGTCAGAAAATCAAACTGCTTATATATACAAAATGAATGAATTCTTCAAAATCACCAGGGACTGTTTAAAAATTTTTCTTCTGGCAGGAGTCAGAAACAGGCTATTTGTAGCCAGAAACAAGACTACTGTTAACACCAATTGATGCTTTTAATATCTGAGAAATTTCATCATTTTAACAACTGTTAAAGTGATGTGAGCTCCCTGATTGTCTTTTGCCTTTCTTCATATCCCTAGCACTTAATATAATGCCTGACATATAGTAGGCACTTAATATTTATTGACTGAACAAATAATGGTATATAGTGTTATTCTTAGGACATTTTCCAAAAGCTTAAAATTTTTTTAATTGTTAAAAAGAAAAAGAAGTCCATCAGTTTTAGTAAAAAGTATTTCTATTATTAATGTAATGTGCCACTTATATGATGAAAAAAGACGCTTTTTAAAAATAGCTCTAATTTTTAAAGATACATTTATTGTAATTCTAATACTTTTTTTGGAAGTTGGGAGAATTTGGCCCTATGTCATCATATGGCACCCATCATTATGTTATTATAAAATTTAAAAATATCACCTGCAGAAAGCTCAAAACATATAATCTAGCCAATATATAATCTAACACAGTTGCGTTGGAACACTAACAGCTTACCCCACTGAGAGCCCTTTGCACCTGGCAAAACAATTAAGAGTACATAAAGAGAAAAACAATGTGAGAATTGTAATTGTGTGAGGAGCAGCTGGAAAAAGAGTTACTGCATTTAGTTATTTTACCTTCTAATCTGTTCAAAGTGGAGCTTCCATGAAAGACATAAAAAAGAAGCCAGCATTTAAAGAAAATACTTTTATAAGAGGAAGGAAATAAACTAAAAATTTTTTAAAGGATGATTTCCTTTAAATGTCAGACAAATTTATTTCAGAGGTTCATAAAGAACAGTTAGGGCAACTGATTTAAATATATGCTATTACCAAAGTAGTTGGGGAGTGTATATAATCATGCTACCTTGTATCTTACCAGACATTAATAGTCAAATGATAGCATAAACAGTGTATACTTTTTTTTATTGCCTCCCTCTTACCACCTCATATATTTTGTGTTCTGAAGTTCCAGAAACGGACAATTTACAGTATCAAGGAATAAATATTGTTGATGACAAATCATTTCAGTTGGATCAATAAGAAAACAAATACAAAACCATGATATGGTCATAGCAAAAATAGTCTCCCCCAAACCCTCCAAAAACACAGATTTCTATGAAAAGCAATCAAGAATGAAATAAAAAAGTAATATGGAGTACATAGCTGACCTGGCTTGACAGATTTTTTTAGTCCATGGAGAGCAAACTGGTTCACTGTCATTTCTGACATTTGTAATTTTTAATATTAAAGCTGAAATAGCATGTTACAGTGGAAATAGCAATGGACTTTGAGTCAAGAGACTTTGGTTTGAATCCTGGCTCCACACTCCACTCCTAGCTGTGTGACCAGGAGGGCATGTTACTTAACCTCTCTGAGATGATTTCCTCACATGTAAAATGGTAATAATAATAATAATATCTGTACTGCAAATCTGAATGAATTCTTGCAGAGAAAATATTTTACAGAAACAGGTAACTGGGTAAAAAAAATCTTTGCAAGAAGCTTTACTGATAAGAGTCTCATTTCCAAAACATATAAGGAACTGATTTAAATCTATTAAGAAGAGTCATTCTCTAACTGATAAATTCCCCTCAATTATATGTAAAAAAAAAATTTTAACATGAGTTTTTTTAAATTTTGAATTCCAAATTCATTCCCTCCGTCTCCTCCCCCCTCCTTGAGAAGTCAAGCGACTTGATATAGGTTATATATGTACAGTCATGCAAAACTTATTTCCATATTAGCCATGTTACAAAAGAAAAAACATTAAAAAACAAGCAAGAAAAACAAAGAAAGCAAAAAAAAAGTATGCTTCAATATGCATGCAGACTCCATCAATTCTTTCTCTGGAGGTGGATAGCATTTTTCAAGAAGAGTCCTTTGGAACTGTCGTGGATCTTTGTACTGCTGAGAATACCTAAGTTATTCACAATTGATCATCGTACAATATTGCTCTTACTATGTATGTACAATGTTCTCCTGGTTCTGCTCACTTCACTTTTTATCAGTTCATATGAGTCTCCCCAGGTTTTTCTGAGAGCATCCTGCTCATCATTTCTTATAGCACAACAGTATTTCATTACAATCACATACCAGAACTTGTTCAGCTATTCCCCAACTAGTGGGCATCCCCTCAATTTCCAATTCTTTGCCACCACAAAAAGAGCTGCTATCAAAACTTTTTGTACATATAGGTCATTTTCCTTTTTCTTTGATCTTTTTGAGATACAAACCTAGTACTGGTATTGCTGGGTCAAAGGGTATACACAGTTTTAAAGCCCTTTGGGCATAGTTCCAAATTCCTCTCCAGAATGATTGGACCAGTTCACAACTTCACCAACAATGCATTAGTGTCCCGATTTTTCCACATCACCCCAACATTTGTCATTTTCCTTTTCTGTCATATTATTCAATCTGATATGTGTGAGGTGCTACCTGAGAGTTGTTTTAATTTGCAGTTCTCCAATCAATAATTATTTAGAGTATTTTTTTTATACGACTATGGATAGTTTTGATTTCCTCTTCTGAAAACTGCCTGTTTATATACTTTGACCATTCATCAATTGGACAGTGACCTGTATCGTTATAAATCTGACACAGTTCTCTATATATTTGAGAAATGAGGCTTTCATCGAGATATGTGGTATAAATTTTTTCCCCTCAGTTTCATGCTTTCCTCCTAATCTTGGCTACATTGCTTTTGTTTGTGCAAAACCTTTTAAATTTAATAATTATTCATTTTACCTTCTGTTATGTTCTCTATCTTGTTTGGTCATAAATTCTTCCCTTTTTCCACAGATCTATGGGTAAAATTTTCCATGCTCCTCTAAGTTGCTTATAACATCACCCTTATGTCTAAATCATGTGCCTATTTTGACCTTATCTTGGCATACAGTGTGAGGTGTTGGTCTATACCCAGTTCTGGCCAAACTGCTTTCTAGTTTTCCCAGGTTTTTTGGGGGGGTCAAATTGTGAGTTCTTGTCCCAAAAGCATGAATTTTTGGGTTTGTCAAACACTAGATTACTATGGTCATTTACTACTGTGTGTTGTATAATCTATTCCGTTGATCCACTACTCTATTTCTTTGCCAGTACTGGATTGTTTTGATGATTACTGCTTTGTAATTGTTTGAGAACTAGTACTGCTAAGCCATCTTTCTTCACATTCTTTTTCACTGATTCTCTTGACATTTTTGACCTTTCGTTCCAGATGAATTTTGTGATTTTTTTCCTTATTCTATAAAGTAATTTTTGGGTAGTCTGATTGGTATGGCAATGAATAATCAAATGAATTTAGGTGGAATTGTCATTTTTATTATATTTGCTCAATAGACTGAGCAATTAATATTTTTTTCCAGTTGTTTAGATCTGACTTCGTGTGAAAAGTGTTTTGTAATTGTATTCAAATAGTTCCTGGGTTTGTCTTGGTAGGTAGACTCCCAAGTATTTTATATTGTCTACAATTACTTTATTTCATTTTGTTTTTTTTTTTTTGGTTGGGCAATGGGGGTTCAGTGACTTGCCCAGGGTCACACAGCTAGCAAGTGCTATATGTCTGAGGCCGGATTTGAACTCAGGTTCTCCTGAATCCAGGGCCAGTGCT